ATTTTTTTTTTTTTTTTTTTTCTGGTACCGGGGATTGAACTCGCGTCCTTGTGCTTGCGAGGCAAGCACCAGAACCACTCAGCTAAATCACCGGCCCGCAAATTTTTTTCATTAAATATGTTTTACTTTTCAAATCTCAGGAACACTTGTGAGAGCTTTTTTTTTTTCTTTTTTGACACCGGGATCACACCCAGGACCTTGGGCTTGCAAGGCCCAACAGTACCATTGAGCTAAACCCCCTGCCCATGAGAGGTTTTTAAAAATAAAACACTCATTGAGTGTGCTTAAGTGGCACAATAAAGTGGTAGAACCTTTCTAGGAAGCAGTTTGTCAATATGTTGTAGATAACTTTAAAAAGGACAATTCCCTTTTGAATATTCTTAATTTTAAAAATTACACTTTCACATTCTCCTTTTAGATAATTAGAACTTTTTATCCGATAAAGAGCACCATCTAGAAATCACTGAATGCTCCCTTTCTTTCTTCCCATCTGCACTGAAGATTGCTATACAGACTTCCAGTTCTTTTATATAATCACATTTTCATATTCTCTGAACATGTATGTATGCATTTTAACAAGTGGTGTACTGTGTCATTCTACACATTTCATTTGATAGTTTTTGCAGTTTAACATTATAGCTCATTGTTACTTATGAATTATTTTACCTGCTGCATAGTGTTCCAGTGCAAGAATGAAATGTGAACTATTTTATCTCTGATTGGTTCTCATATTAAAATATATTTCCTTTGATATGTATTGTGCAGCACATTTTATTTGCTGTTTTTCTCTTTATGAATCTTAGGCTGTTTCCGGTTTTCTACCTTAACACTAGTGCAAAGAAAATCTTTGTATTCTGTTGTGTACACATGCTATTTTTCAAGCATATATAACCTAAAAGTGGAAATTGGTTTTCAGTTATGAACATTTTCAGTTTTAGTAGGTCAGACCAAGATTGATTTTCTATTAATAATCTCTCTTAATTTACCCATCCAACAAGTAGTTTATGAGAGTTCAATTTTGCTACTATCTAGACCAACACCAAATATTTTCTTTTTGTTTTGCCCATTTTATGGCTGAAAATGTTACTCAAGATTTTTCTCTGACTTACGTTTGGAATATCTATTTGTATATTTATTAATTTATAATTTATATGTTTTTCTTTTTCTTTTTTTCTTTTTTTGGTACTGGGGATCAAACTTGTGTCCTTCAACTTGCAAAGCAGGTGGTGGCACCACTGAGCTAAATTCCTGGCCTTTTATTGAGTCATCTTAATTTAACTTCTTTACATGTGTATCCTATATAATTTTTAAAATCTGTTCAGTGTCTGTGCATATTACCCTTTTCTGTTGCTATTGCTAAAATACATTACAGACTTAGCCTCTTGCATTGGCTTTTGACTTTATGCATTGTTTTATTTATTCTACAAATAGATTTTTCTCTTTGAATTTTTAGCCCCATCCCACCCCACCCCACCTGCACCGGGAATCAAAGTCAGGACCTTACTTTTGCCAGGCAGGTGGGGTGCCCCTGAGCTACATCCCTAGCCCAGCCCTCTTTTTTAAGATCTTTACTGTATTTCTCTAACAGTACCAGCACAATATTGATTTATTTGGGGGGATACTGGGGATTGAACTCGGGCCCTTGTGCTTGCAAGGCACGCGGTGGAACCACTGAGCCAAACCCCAGCCCAAAGCAGCACAATACAGCAGTGATGATGATTATCCTCATCTTAGTCCTAATGAAGATGCTTCTAATGTTTTACTATTTATTTATTTTTCTGCCAGATTTTGCTAAGGAAATTCTTTTTTAGTCCTCGTTTGCTAAGGGTAGTCTCACCTTCCCAGTGTAATGATTAATTTTTTTGGGTATTCGGGATCGAACTCAGGTCCTTGCACTTGCAAGGCAGGTGGTGGAACCTGTGAGCTAAGTCCCTGGCCGTGTATAGCCCAGGCTGGTCTGGAGTGATCCTCCTGCCTCAGCCTACTGAGTGCTGGGATTACAGGTGTGCCCTACCACGCCCAGCTCATGATTAATTTTATAGAACTGTTTTAGGTCACAGTTTTCTACTAATTCATCTATTAATATGGCCGTTCACATCGATAAACTTTATAGATATTCCTGAGATAATCCCACATTATACTACTACTAGATAATTGCAATATTTTTGCATTTATAACCAGAAGTAATTTTGGCCTTGAGGGTGTTCTTTTCCTTGTGTGTCACTAACCTTGCAGAAAGAGATAAGTAGCTTCTCGTATTTTTTTCTGCTCTGCGATAGTTTATGTACAACAGAAATAACACATCCCTTGAAAGTTTTAGACTATTCATCTTTAAAATTTAATGGAGCTGGTATACTGGAAGTGAGGGGTGAGCTCTATTGTCCCTGTTTTAAGATCTTTATTGTTTTAACTTCTTTTTATGCTTAATTCATCTTGGAATTTTTACTTCTTGAGCCTACATAATAGTTTGTATTTTCCTAGAAAATTGTTCTTGTTAAGTTCATTGGGCAGTGCTATAAAACTGTTTGAACCTTAAAATGTTTTAAAATCTCTTATCTTTCATTTGTTACATTGTTGATCTTTTGAAGTTTCTTTATTGTTTTTTTTTTCCAGTACTGAGATTGAATCCAGGGCCCCAGTACCCCCACACACATTGCCCATGATGGACTTGAGCTATGGATCCTCCAGCCTCAGCTTCCCAAAGTGCTTGAATTACAGGCATGTGCTATCTCCCCCAGCTGTTTTTCCCAACTTCTTAATTGAATAGTTAAATGAATAATTTCAATTTTCTCGTTTTTTAATAAAAAATCATTTAAGGCTTAAATATTTCTGTGTTTGCTACACTGGCAAAATTCTTAAGGTTTTGATATGTAGTATTTCAACTAATCTTCATTTCTAAATTTTAAAAAATCTGACATTTTAAACTTTGATATCCTCTAAATTATAAATCACTTGGAAATTTGTTTTTAAATTTGCAGAGGTAATATGGGGTGGGGAATTCTTAGTGTCATTGATTTTTATTTTTACTATAATTAATTACTGTGATCTTTGTGACATAATTCCTGTGGAATTTGTTAAGAATTTCTTTCAGGGCCAGGGATTCAGCTCAGTGGTTCCACCGCCTGCCTTGCAAGCTCAAGGGCCCAAGTTCTATCCCCGGTAACAAAAAGAAAAAAAAAAAAAAAAAAAAAAGAATTTCTTTTGGTCTAGTACACAGTTTTTGTAAATTTCATCTTGCCCAACCCCAAAGTACTTTCTACGGGTGCAGAGTTGTATATATATGTTAAATTGAGCCTATTGGGTAATCTGTTATTTAAATTTCTTCTTTTCTTTCTTTTTTTCCTGCTGTGCTGTGAATCAAACCTATGGTATCAGGCACATTAGACAGGTATTCTACCAGATATGTACTCCAGACTTAAATTCTTTATATCTTGATTTTGGCGGGGGGCGGGGTCTACTTTGTTAGTTTCTGAGAAGAATTTGTTATTTCCCTATCAAAACTTTGAATTTGGGCATTTTACTTGGGTGTGTTTTTGTTTTGTTTTGTTTTACTAGGGATACTAGGGTACTAGGGGTTGAACTCATGATCTTGTGCTTGTAAGGCAGGCAGTAGAACCACAGAGCTAAATCCCCAGCCCCAGGATTTTCTTTTCGTTTAGTAGATTAGATTCTTTTCTTCCAGTAGATTTTCTTTTGTTTTCTTTTAGTAGATTGCATTTACGTTTTCAACACAATTCTTAAATTTATATTTTCCTAAAAAATTTTTAGCTTAACCAGTATCAATATCCTGATGGAGGGAAAACCTAGTATTTTTCTGTTTTTGGTGTGTGTTGGGGGGGTTACTGGAGATTGAACCCAAGTCTCTCACGTTGAGCTATATCCCCAACCTTTAAAAAAAATTTTTTTGAAAAATATTTTGAGACAGGTTCTCTATACATCTCTGCATTGCCTGCATTGGGGTTGAATTTGTAATCCTCCTGCCTCAGCCTCCCAGTATTGCAGATAGCTAAGTTAGTTAAAAATTATTATAAGGCAGTTAGACAAAGCTGGGCTCTCTTCATAGAAAAACAATTGAGGAACTTTCACCAGTTAGCATTATAAAAAGAAAAGATGTACTCCTTCCCCTAGAGATGATTAGCAGTGATTAATATTATAAATAGACATCAATCTCCTTAGCCCATTTCCTTTCCAGAAATTACTTATGCAGTGACTTAATTTACCATTTGATCCTCATTTAATCAATGTCAGCTGGGTGACTATACTTGTAATCTTATTGGCTGATTATGTTTTTTCTCACATCACGCCCACCTTTTAATCTTCAGTTGGGTATTACAGGTTTTTTTGTTTTGTTTTTATCTTTTGGTACTAGATATCAAACTCAGGACCTTGTACTGAGCCAGATCCCCAGCCCTAGTTTTGTCCTACTTTTGTACCCTCCTCACCTCCTGGCTTTGCTGTATGAAACACCTTTGAAAAGTGGGATGGGCGGGCAACCCACTTTCAGTCCCCCTTCTGCCTCTCTTAGAAGCTATCTTTCTCTCAATAAACTTTTCCTACTCTTAGCCTCCATTGTTTCTAGAATTCATTCTTTAATTTTAGAGAACATGAATTTGCATTTTGGATATCTAGCAGATTGGGAGTTATAAAATTTTCTTTGTTAGGATTATTATTATTTTTGTGGTACCGGGAACCCAACTCAGGACCTTGCACTTGTGAGGCAGGCACCACTGAGCTAAATCCCCAGCCCTGTTTGGGTTATTTTTATTTATTTGGTTATCATTTTTGTATTACTTGGTGCCCTATATCACTAGAATGCTGAGATTATAGGAATGTGCCACCAAACCACTGGTTGATTTTCTTCATGAAGTACTTAGCCATATTTCCTGTCTGTCTCTGGGTAGTTCTTTTGAGTATCTGTGGAAGTCTTATAAGTATCAAAAGATACCTTAGCTGGAAATTGTCTAGTGGCATCTATTAACAATTTTATCTGCTTGGACTCAGGGCTATGTGTTTTCCAGTTCTGAGAAATTTTTGATCATTTTTGCTTCATCTATACAGTATTCTTTTATATTTTCTTTTATTTCTGTGGTCTGTGTTCTCCAGCAATTACTCAACTCAGTCTTCCAGGTTACCAGTATTTCAGGACAGTCCATTATTCAGTCATCTGTTGGATTTATTGCAACAACTCTTATCCAAGATGTTTAATTGGTTATTTTTCAAAATTGTATATTATTTCATGGATGCAGTTTCCTTCTTTAGATCTTGAGGATATCAAATAATATATATTTATTTAAAATTATTTTCAGGACTCTATTAATTCTCTTATTAAAGCTCGTCAGTGTGGTAAGCATGGTAAGTTTTATTTTCATGCTGTACTTTCTTCAGATGTTCAGGGATTCTTGCACCTTTGTCTGCTTTGTGTGGTTTCCTGCCCATCCTTTTTTTTTGAGATTATGGTTGGTATTGCCTTTGTAGCTTATCTAGTTACTTTCCCAAGTCACAGACTTTGTACATAGGGTATTTTTGTGTTCAGCATGACCATATATATTTTAAAAGTCTTCTAGTAATTTTTATGGATTGGTGTGGAAATGGTAGACCATATGGTGACATATATAAAATCTTCAATGTGTGGATTTTTGACCACAGTATATTTAGTAAAAAAATATTAATGAGGTAATGTGAAATAGGAAGAAAAGGGCTAAAGATGTAGGGGAAATGGGAAGGGCAGAGGAAAGGAAATAAGGGACAAGAAAAATATGAGAAAAAGAAAAAATGGAAACAAAATCTTTGTAAATAAGGGAGGGTGGAAGGGGTGAAAGGAGGGCAGGAATATGGGGGAAAAGTGAGAACCAAGATCTGTCATGTAAAGGTACAAGATACCAATGATGAGTGTAACTGTACTGTATACTTAAAAAGTATCAATAAACTCAATAAGATAAAAACAAAATATTAATGAGGGCCGAGGATGAAGCTCAGTGGCTCTGCACCAGCCTGGCAAGTGCAAGGTCCTTCCCTGTACTGGAAGAAAAATGTTAATGAGGGAAAGTGCAGTATGTTATTAGTGAAAGAATATGAAAATTTATGTTCACTAAAATTCAAATTTTGTTCTAAAATTATATACTGAAAGAATAATAATGCTAGCATTTGTTGGCTCTGTCACATCTATGAGGCATTATTCTAAATAGGTAAGTCTTATCATCACCACAACTTATAAGGCAGCATTATTATCTCCGTTTAAAAGGTTTAAAAGTATTTATAATAGGAATTATTTAATTGTTGATTGATATAGTAAAAGTTAATAAATATGTTAAATATGGTTGACAGAATTATGAGTAATTCTTAACTGCTTGGTAATTTTTCTAATTTTGACATTTTACATATTTTTTCACTTAATTTCGAATTTTATGATTCATGCTGTTTTAAAAGATAGAGCTATTGTTATAACAATATCTTTTTACTTTGCATGTTTTGTGCTTTACGAATATACACTTTTCTTTATTGTTTTTCTTACAGGATGTCTCATGCATTTGAGGACCAAAAGATTGAGTTGTTTTTTGTCTGTAATACTGTCAGTGATGTGATACAGCCGTAAATACTCACTTGATAAAGATGCATCAACCAGACGTTTGTTGGGACTGGTAGTCATCTGTGAAAGTTTTTGCAACTACAGTTTCTAAGTATCAAAGAATATTGTGCTTAAAATGGTATAGTGATTTATTTTATCTGAGGACTGCAGCTTTTGTAGACAACAGTTGAATTCCAGTTATACTCTTATCACAGTGATTACTACTATTCAATCTTGATAAACTTAATTTTGAAGAATTTTATATTTATAAACAACACCAAAAGATGGGAGAAAAAAATGGTAGGTTGAAGAACATGCTGTAAATTTTATGTATAAAATTTATAGACAAGCAAAGTTGTGAAATTTCCAAAGTTTTTCTTTGTAAGTGACTTTTCTGAATCAGAGGGAATAAAGTTCCAACTTTGACTGTCTTTATAATTAATTGATAATTAGTAATGTTAAATAAGAGCTCTGATGTACTTTTAAATTAAAAAAATATTTTTTTAATGGTACTGGAGATTGAACCCAGGGCCTTTATGGGCCCTTTTTATTTTGAGATAGAGTCTCACTAAATTGCCCAGGTACTAAACTGTACCTCGGCACCCAACTTCTAAAGCACATTTTTTTAAAAAATTATTTATTTATTTATTTTTGGTACCGGGGATTGAACTTGGGTCCTTGTGCTTGCAAGGCAGGCCACCGAACCGCTGAGCTAAATCACCAGCCCTAAAGTAGTACATTTTTAAAAAATAGACTACTTTTTAGGGGAAATTAAAAAAAAATTTTTATAGTAAAAGGACAGTTCAGAAAGTCACCATATGTCCAGCACCCACCTTCACCTGTGAGTAACATCTTACATTTAGATGGTGCATGTTAAATTAACAAACCCATATTGATACATTATTAACTCTCATCTTTAATTTATTAGGGTTTATAGAACATTTTACTCCATTCCAGGATTCTATCTGGGATATTACATTTACTTTTCATGTCTCTTTAGACTCCTTATGGCTGTGACAGTCTCTTAGACTCATTGATTCTGTGATTTTTGTATCAAGGCATTTGTAGGCTACCCCTCTATTGGAATTACTGTGTGACTTTTCTCATGATTAGACTTGGGGTTATGGGTTTTGAGGAGGAAGGTCACAGTGGTAAACTGCCATTTCCAGCACACCATATCAAGGGTTCCTGCTGTGAACGTAATTTTTCTCTGTTGATACTAAGCTTTATCACCTGGATACACACACACACATTTAATTTTAGGTTATAATTCTGTGTGTGCATATAGTGCACAAATAAGATCAGGAACAAAAAACAAATTCTTTTGTGTGTTTGGGGACTGAGGCTCACCTCAGGGCCTCTCCCACTGGGTCTACTACTGAGCTACATTCCCAGCACAAGACTAAAATTGTTTACATTGTAATAATCATCTCTACAGACTACAGCAGATATGAAAATCTCTCCCCCTCTCCCCTACCAGGGACCACACTCAGGACCTGTGGTGCTTGCAAGGCAAATGCAGTGCCACTGAGCTAAATCCTTGGCCCTCTTTCTTTCCTTTTTAACAGTACTGGAGATTGAACCCAGGGCCTTCATATTAAGCTACATTTTTAGTCCTTTTTATTTTCTTTTTATTTTGAGACAGGATCTATACAAGTCCATAAGTTACCCAGTCTGGGCTCAAACTTGTGATCCTTCTCCCTCAGCCTCCCAAAGTGTTGAGATTAAAAGAGAGACTTTTATCACCCACTGACAAGTTTCTCTTTTCTTGAAGAACAAATGTAAAACCTAGTGGTCTGAAATAGTAATGATTTTACAGGATGCTTAGTTATATTCATTTATTGTAAAAGCAGATAGTTTTGATATTTTGCTTGAGTAACTTTGGTTTTTTTAATTCTTTATTGTCAGGAGGCTGGCAAACCCAAGGCCTTGTACATGCTCAAAGGCACTGTGCCACTGAGCTATAGCCCTGGCCTCTCTCTTTTTAAAAAAATTACATTGCCATTGTCCTTTTATTAATTGGTTCCAAGACTAAGCAGTTAGTTTGTTGAGGTTTTTGTTGTTTTGGGGTTTTCTATTGTTTTTGTTTTTTAAGACAGGGTTTCCATGTGCAGTTCAGGCTGGCCTTGAACTCACTGTGTAACCCAGGCTGACTTTGAAGTTGGAGTCATCTTCCTGCCTCAGCCTCTGCAGTGCTGGGATTGCTGATATGTGCCACCACACCCAGCTTGTTTTTTCTTAGCAGAATAAATTAGTATTAGTAATAATATTTCTTATCAGAATATATTACTAATAATATTTCTAAGATAGTTTTAAATAACAGTCACAAAAAAGAATTAATGAAGCTCAGTTGCCATGTTTTAGCATCACTACTGCTTTCTCCAGGCAGCACAGTGTTATATTACAAATCTAGAATTTGTGTTTTGTGTTTATGGTGACCTACACCTCAATCCAATTAGTTAATTTTTAATCAACATAAAAGTTGTATGTATTTGAGCCAAACATGGTGATGCGTTCCTCTAGCCCCAGCATTTGGGAGGCTGAGGCAGGAGGATTGCTACAAATTCAAGGCCAGCCTGAGCTACATAGTGAGTTCAAGGCCACTGTGAACTACACAGCAAGATCTTGTATCAAAAAAATATTTTGTATATATTTATAGTGTATGCTATATTTATTATATGTATATTTTTGTTCATAGTGACAACATTCAGAAAACTTTCTTGTAGCTTTTTCTGAAATGTGCTATATATTATCTACAGTACCTACGAAGCAATAGAACACCATAACTAATAATATGCTCACCAACCTTTCCTCATCCCTTCCTCTCCCTACTCTCCCTAGCCTCTGGTAACCAGTATTTTACTGTCAGCTTCTTTGAGATCAGTATTTGTAGATTCCACATGAGTGAGATGATGCAATATTGTCTTTCTGCTCTAACTTATTTCACTTTCCATAATATCCTACTTACCCTCATATAATGTCACAAATGACAGAATTCCAACCTTTTTATGGCTAAATAGTATTCTGTGTGTGTGTGTGTGTGTGTGTGTGTGATGTCTTTCCTTCTTCCTTTCCTCTTTTCCATATCTCCCTCTTTCCCTATCCCTTGAATTTTCACCGGCCCCTATAATTCATTTTGCACCACATTGAATATCACTACTATTTGGTTCCCTGAGACAGAAAGATGGAAATCATTCTAAACTCCTCTCACCACTGTCTGAGTGTGTTTTGCTTTTTGCCTACAGTGTTGAACCTAGGGCTTTTGTATAAGCTACATCCCCAGACATTATTACTGTTACTGTGTTTGTGATAAGGTCTTACTAAGTTTCCCATGCTGGGCTCAAACTTGTGATCCTCTTGCCTCAGCCTCCAAAAGTGCTAGGATTACAGGCCTGTGCCACCACTTCTTAGCACAGAGTGATATTTCTAAGAAACACATCTAATCACATCATGAGATGTTTATACCTCTTGAGTAGTCTTCTACATAAAAATTGCTTAGCATGGTAAATAAAACCCTTATTTCATAGCTCTGTCTACCCTTAAGTACCATTTGTCATCCATTCTGTCCTCTATTTGTTTCAAATCTTGAAACTTTATCTGGGCTGTGCTGTGAGGATTTAAAAGTGGGCTTTGTCTCGGATAATATACAACAGGCCAGAGTGTTAGTGAAACATCACCCCTCCTGAGGCTACTTGGTGGCAGCAGCTCTAATTAGGTGGAGAATAGAATCCCTTTGGGAAAGATGACTTTCCCAGCATGAATTAGGACTCTGAGGACTAGGCCTCCTTCCTTATGAAGATTCTGCTTCTGTTGCCACAGTTGGAGGTTTAAGTTTTAATGTTCATCACGGAAAGAGTGTATGTGTGTGTATCACAGACAGACCACCGTATACACACTTCAACAGTTTACTGTACTGATAAATGTCTGGAAGCTATAACCACTACTTCGAGCACCTCTTGTAATTGTAGAGGTCAAAGATAACTTGTATTAAATCTCTTGATGTCTTAATAATTTAGTATTACAATATTTATACAAGCTTTTGTTTTTCTGATACATTTCATGGAATATATATATGTATATAAATGATATATACACATATATGATGTAATACAATTATATATAAATATATATATATTTTTTTTAGGTTCTTTTCTCATTAATCCTACAATTTTCTACTCAAGTGACCTTCTTGGAAGTACTTTTATCACTAAGCTATATCCTCAAACCTCTCAAGAGACCTTTCTAAAATACAGTACAATTATTATGTCCCTTTTTGCTTAAAACCCTGTGTAAAATAATTTTATACATTAATTTTAAAATTTTATAAGTTGTATTTGACATGTTAGGTATTTTTGTTAGATTTAAACATAGGGTGTGGGATTTGAGTTTTGCTAATTTTAATTGTCTTGTTTATTTTCAACTTTGAAAGGTTTATTTCTCTCAAAAATTTTAAGAAGTTAGCTATGCATGGTGTTGCTTGCCAAAAAAAAGAAATTACTTTGATGGGCATCAAAAATATTGGCTCCTTTATATAAGTTTACCTATAAAAATAAAACACTCTTTGGTTTTATAGTTTATATAAATGATTTTTTAGGAGCAGATTGGAAGGTGTGGTAGTACATACTGATACTAATGAGCCCAAGTAGTCATGAGGCTGGAAACAGGAGGATCACAAGTTTAAGGACAGTCTGGGAGATGCTGGAAGACCCTGCCTTTTATTTTTTTGTATCTGGGATCGAACTCGGGACCTTGTACTTGTGAGGCAGGCAGTGGCAACCCTGAGCTAAATTCCTAGCCCAAAGACCCTGTCTTAAAACAAAATAAAACAAAAATATTGAAAAAAGAAAAAAGGTCTGAGGATATAACTAAGTGGTATAGCACTTCCAGATTGAATCCCTTGTACCAAAAAAAAAAAAAAAAAAGTATTTTTGGACATTTAGTTATGTCAATAGTCATTAAGATACTTCATTCTGAAACCATCTACTTGTATATTCAATGTAGGTTATATCCCCAAAATATTAAAAATGCATGTTATCTATGCATGTGTCCCAGTACCACTCTGAATTAAAGTTAAAGTTATTTCTCCTTTGTAGTGTCATTGAAAAATCGTGTGTGTGTGTGTGTGTGTGTGTGTGTGTGTGTGTGTGTGGGCGCGCACGCTCGTGTGCGCGAGTGCATGTGCATTGTTTTGTTTTTGTGATGCTGGGGATAGAATTCAGGCCTTTGTGCATGGTAGCCAAGCACTCTGCCACTGAGCTACACCCTCAGACCACAATATATTTTTTAGAATAGCAGAAAAGGAGAACAGATACTTGAATCGTATTCTTTGTAGTTTCTTTAAAAAAAAAAAAAAAAGGAAACGACTAAAATCTTTTTTCTTCAAGGAAAGTGACAAATTGAATCTTGATTTTATGACAACTAAGTAGATCCTTCTGTAACTTGTGCCTTGGGGAAATTAGTCTGTTTCTATCAAACTCTTAGATTGTTTGTTTATTTATATTATAGGTGATGCAAAAAGTTTCTGGATGGAGCTAGAGGATAATGGAAAAGTAGACTTCATATTTGAAAAAGTACAAAATGTGCTGCAGTCACTGAAACAAAAGATCAAAGATGGATCTGCCACAAATAAAGGTATGAAGGAATAAAAATAACTTTTCAATAAGCTTAAATATAAAAATATAGCACTGTAATTTTAATAATACCATTTTAAAAGTCAAATAATTTCTTTGTTTTCTAAAAACCTAATATGCTCTTTGCTGTGTTTTTTGGTACTGGGGATTGAACTCAGGACCTTGCTCTTTCAAGGCAGGTAGCAGCACCACTAAGCTAAATCCCCAGCTCCTCTTAGCTGTTTTTGTACTCTGCTTCTGTGAAAACTTGCTTTTATCATACCGTGGACATCTTGTAAAAGTGAAAGAATCTGATTATGTTTGAATAATAGGTACTGATTTTACTTCTTTTTATCTCATCCTATTATTTTTTTAAACTTTGTGTCTTTTTTGGAGAGGGGAGATGTTGGCTAAAGTAATATCTGCTCATTGTACAATATTTGGCATATATAAAAATAATAACAAAATTATTCATTGATTGAGACAACTTGTTACATGTATAGAGTTCACCAAAAAATGTATACATCAGGAAAAGAAAAACTTGTATAAATATTTTAATATTAAATTTATTGTTGAGAAATGAGAAGAAAATGTTCAAATGGGAAGGGGAATAAGGGAGGAGGGAGGAAGAAAGGAAGAAAGTGACAAGAAAAAGTGAAAACAGAAGGAAAAAATGGAAACAAGGCTTTTGTATAGAGGGAGGGGAGGGAACTTGAGGCAGGGAATGGGATAAAATAAGATTTATTAAAAAAAAATAAATTTATTGAGGCACAGTGAGATTAATACAAGTTACCTTTGGCCTCTATAATTATGAGATGCTCAAAGTGGTAGCATTAGCTTCCAGACCTTTATTAGTACAGCAAATTGCTGACGTGTGTATACATTTTTTGGTAGACTTAGTATATAAGCTAAGTGGTAGAGCCTGTGCTTATTAGCATGCAGGAGGCCTCGGGTTCAATCATACCAAAAAAATTTAAATATCCCAAAAATACATATAACTGTATTTTGCCTGCTTTGAACAGAACTTGTTCCATTAATCTTCTGAATAAAAATTTAATGTTTTACGCAAGACAGTTAACTCATCTAAGTTTTTTTTTTTTTCTGTCTTCAACCCTGCTTGGTTGCAGGATATAAGATTTTAATGAGGAATCATCCTTTGGTGCATCTGGACATACAGTTTTAAAGCAAGATTTTCCCAAAACTATTCTTAATACTTTCTGGTAATATTTCTGTTTTTATGACATTAATCTATTATGTTTTCATTTTTTAAAGTACTATTTCATTTTAATATTCCTTCTCAGTCTTTCATGCATCACAGAAGTTTGAGTCCAGTTCCACCACTTCTAGCTGGATTGCCTAGAATAAATAGCTTCTTTAATACAGATAACTGTAAGAACCTGTTAGAGTTGTGAAGATTAAATAAGATAAAGTATATAAATTGTTTAGTGTAGTAACTGGTACTGTGAGCAAAGATGATGGTGATACTGACTGCTTTCATTTCTTTTTTTATTTTTATTTTTTTCTTAACAGAATATATCCAAGCAATGATTCTAGTGAATGATGCAACTATAAGTAAAAATTCAACATTGAAAAAAAGTATGTACATTTCTCACCCTAATCCTAGAGTATTCTGATATTTCCTTGCCCCACAGCAAGCCATCCTTCATATGTCACATTAATTAAGTATAATTTGAAAGAAAATGTAAGATCCATATTGCTAAGTTCTATAAGTCAGTTTCCTTTATTAAATGAAGTTGTACCTGTCCCAAGATTGGGAATGCATGTGTCTTCTTCAGATAAAGAGGGCAAATAGAATTCTAAGACTAAACCACTATAAACCTGCTTTCTGTGAAGAGAGGTATATTCTGTTTTAGGTTAAGTTGGTGGGTAATTTTTCATGTCTAGATTTTTTTTTTTGAGAGCATTAGTCTTCAAAGCTCTAAACAAACTCAATTTAGAAGGTTCAATGATGACACACTAAAAAACTTTCTCTGTTTACAACACCTCTGACACCAGATGTGTAGGTTTTCCATACCAAGCAATTCTCCAATTTTCTGTGGACACCCTTCATGTTCTACATTTAGTTGGATTATGACACTAACTACTTAGTTAATGCAGACTCCACAAGTTAAGTACTCAGACCCATAAGGCTTGCCTCCTGCTTTTCATGCCAGTCACAAACCTTGGGCTTCTGCTATTTCTGAGTTGGCTACAAATCAGTGGTTTCCACAACATCCTTCTCAGGCTCAATAATTTTAATATAATGGTTCAGAGAACTCAAGGGAATGCATCACTATTAGCAGTTTATTATAAAATATATAATGAACAGCCAGATGAAGAGTAAGGAAGGGCAAAGTCTGGAAGGCCTCTAAGTGATAGAACTTATCTACCTGTAGAGTTTTGGGTGTGTGGAACCCTCCCAGCACAGGATGCTTTCACCAACCTAAAAGCTCTCTGAACCCCAGTATTTATGAATTTTGGGGGGCAGTCTCAGTACATAGTCATGAATGATTGGTCATTTGTGATTGGGTCAATTGCCTGCCCCTTTCCACTTCATGGAGATGGGGGATAGCCGTGGTTAGGGCTGAAAGTTTTAATCCTCTAATCATGTTTTGGTCTTTCTGGTGACTAGCCATCAACCCAGTAATCCTGTTCACCAGTTAGCACATTAGCATACAAAAGACAGACACTCACCACTCTGGCAATTCTAAGGATCTTAGAAGCTGTAAGTTAGGAACTAGTAAGTAATACCAAATACTATAATAGATGTTCCTCTTACCTCATCACTTAGGAAATTACAGTGTTTTAGGTACTCTGAAACTGAGGCAGGACAAATATATATTTCTTGTTATTTGTACCAAGACTGGAAAACTTGAAGTTATTTATCAGAATCTAAATTCCATAAATCTTAGTCTATCAGAAATTTGCTCCTGTTGAGGCAGTACATTTACCAACTTTTAATGAATACAGTTGGATATTGGCAAGAGATTTTAGTTGTTTTACTGCCATAATTGGGAGCCTTACAGCTTTTACATCTTAGGTCTAGCATCATTGGTCTATTTTAAAGAAACCTTTTGTTTGTAGAAGTATTCTCAATTTCAGTATCTGTAGTTTCAGAAGAATATATTCTTGATTTAAAAACCCCCTTTCATAGTATCCTTCAGTAACACTTGGAATTATAGGGGGTAAAATGTTTTATCTCAGCAGCTAGGGTTGGGGGGGTCTGTGAATTAAACTGACAAAAGACAAATTACCATAGAAAATGCATACAAGTTTATTAATTTTATGTGCACAGGAGAATCACATAAAGAAAGGAATACCCAAAGCAGAGATGAGATTTGCAAGCTTATTATACTATCCTAATAGGGGAAAGGGAAGAGCAGAGGGCACTTGTGGAAGAACAGATGACTTTTTAGAAGGAGGTGGAAGAAGAGGCAGTTTTGGAAACACAGATGACTTTTGAAAGCTAATTGGTCCTGAAGGGAATAGCTGGGAGAGGAATGATAGTTTGTGACAATATCTGGATATAGTGCCAACTACCTCTGCTCTTCCCGTGAGTAAGCTTTCCCTGTTCAAAACTCCTAGAGAAGAGGATTTATGACAGTTAAATTTGGGGTTTTTTGTATGTTTTGTGTTTTGCATTTTATTTCTGAGGATCTGCTTTTAGATAGTTAAGAGTTCAGAGAAAGTCTTTTCCTGCATTTGTTGAGTCTTATATATTTTAGCTAAAAAAAAAATCCTTATTCTACTGTGACACATCTAGACTCCTTCAGAATCAAAACACCTTCAAGGGATTATATTAGTTTTCCCAGACAGAGGTTTATAAATGCAAGTGATGGGAGCAAAGAACTAATTCTAAACAACAGTTTTCTTTCTGAAACAATTTACCACTAAAAGTATATGTGCTGCCAAAGTGAGCACATTTACCACTAAAAATAAATTGGGTTTTTGTTTTGGGACTTTTAAAGTAATAATTTCCTTAATAGAAATGCTAAATATTATTTTGTTTTTATATAGTTCATCTGAAATTAACAGTTATCAAATAAAATAATATCTGTTTTCCAGTACTACTTCTACTTAAGTAAGTAGAAGAGAGCTACATAATTGCAATTATGTTAGCAAGTCTAAAGATTAACAATTTGTAATAAACTTTCATACTAGCATTTATTTTAAAAAGGATACCAAGGCTGAGAGAAACAAATGGATTTGCTACAAGGTCAAAATAGGCCCTCCACGATCCAGCCTGCATTCCCCAGACTTTCATCAAACCACTAATGACCTTTCGTTTTCTCACTTAGTTATAACTGTAAATATTTGCTGTGTCCCCATACAGGATTGGAAACTTTTTTTATTGAAAGGAATTATTTCTCCTTTCTCCTGTCTTATAATTTTAAATACCCATGTTTTGCCATAAATATTATTTCCAACTCTGTTTATGTACTTTTGTTTTGCTCATTTTCACTAATACAGATTTATGACTGGCAAAAAATTACCTGGGGAAAATCAGAAATTCTTAATTATATAATTTATTGTAATTGTTATAGTTTTCTTCATAAGATTTTATACCTTCTTTCTTTACTTAGGTAATTAAGGAGGAATATTTGTTTTCCAGTGAGCCAAGTAGCCTTAGGTTATAACTTTTAAATGTTCTTTATTAAACTTTTATTGCTGTTTTTTAGTAAAACTAAAGCACTTTGCTTCACCAAACTTTACTGAGGCTTCTGAACCTTCCCCTTGGTCCATCTAAGTACTTCCTTGACAATTTTGATTTCAGCAAGAATTGCTTTCCCCCAATATCTGATCAGTATCTGTTGGGTTCCTCACCCTACCCCCATCTTCCTGGTGATTGTCTAATTATTTTCTATAGCAAAAATCCTATTAGGTTGGTTAGCCAGAATCCCCTTTACACTTTGTATGTCCTTCTAGCCATTTTTCATCCATTAATAACTAACTACCCTACTCTGCTATTTGACTATAAATTCCCACTTGCTCGTACTATTTCATATTTGAGTCCATTCTCTCCATCACTAGCATATCTCTTTGCAATGTTCTGTATACTTATCAGAGTGGAGCTGAATAAAGTCTGCTTTACAGTTTTCAGTAGATATCACTGAAATTTTTTTCTTTGACAACAGTAGTCTAAGACAGGATAAAAATCACTTTTTTCCTTAAAGTCCATTGGTGCACTTTAAGAAGTTTTTAAACCAAGCAGCATATTCCTTTAACCCATAATTTTTTCCTAAAATATACCACTTTATTTCTGTTATAGATATGTTAGAGGGTAGGAATAGTTAAGGAATAGTATAAAAATAAGAAAAAAATAGAATGCATGCCTAGCATGGCTTTATATCAAGCATTATTAAAAAAATGAGGCAAAGAGAGGGGGTTAATAGAAGAGGATTATGTGTAAAAAGATAATATGAAGAAATGTGAAACAATAAATAGATCAAAACAACGAAATAGCAAATTCTTCCTCCCAAAATGGATGGTTATAGAACAAAGAGCAAACAAAGATGCATACACTTTCTATTTTCTTATCTTGTATAAGCCTTGAAAAGCTGTGTTTTTTTTCTGTAAAATATAAGCAGAAAGAGGGATACTTGTTCATGTTAAGGTTGGTTAAAATGTAGATTATATTCAGGCCAAACTACAGATTTCATATTAGCAATCTCTTTTATGCATTTTAATTTATCCTATTCATTATTAATGTTTTTGAAAATACACCTAATCTTTTGGCTGTATATTGAAATCTTAATATGCTTGCAAATTTTGGGGTTCCATACAGGCAGAATTTCTAGTCATGAAGATACTATTTTGGATATTTTAGTGAGTGGTGTTTAACTTTGTATATTTATTACTGACGTGTGTATTTTTTTTTCATGTAGATCATACATCTGTGACTCAGAGTGAACAGGAAAACGAGTCAAATGAATTTCCTTCTACATCATACAAAGACTCCTTTCCAAAAGACTGTACATTTCTGTATGTATATATATATTTATGTTAATGCTTTTGCTCTTAAGAGATTGTCTTTCAAAATCATTTGACATTAGATTAAATATATTAAAGAGACTTTTCCCATTAAAGCTTTACAAGTTGTAGGACTGGGGATTTAGCTCAGCGGTTCGGTGGCCTGCCTCACAAGCGCAAGGACCCGAGTTCGATTGAACCCTGGTACCAAAAAAAAAAAAGCTTTACAAGTTGTAAAGTTTAGTACTTTTATCAGATAAAGGTCCATGAATCCCTTAATATGTTATTTATTTAATATCTCTAGGTCAATAAGTCATTTTGTAATACGAACTTAACTTGTCTTATGATTTTGGCTGTATTTGTGTTTTTGTGGGGGAAGATGGCTATGGTCATGTTTATCACCTGATGCAGAAGTTGCAAATGGAAACAAAATTTTGCCAAACACTTTTGTTTGTAAACTGATTTGTTTGCAAGCAGAAGCTTTTGTGAACTGAGATATTACTGTATTTAGCTTAAGATGTGTCTGCATATCATTAGTACAGTAAAATCTACCAAGTTGATTTCTTTAAAAATTGGTAGATTTAGAGTATAACAAAATATTGTAAGTATCTTTCAGTATTTGTTCAGGTTTTTTTGTTATTTGTTTTTTGAGAAAGGGTCTCACTATGTAGTTGAGACTGATCTGGAACTCACTGTGTAGCCCAGGCTGGTCTCGAACTCACAGCGATCCTCCTGCCTGAACCTCTCAAGTGCTGGGATTACAGGTGTGTGCCATCACACCTGGCTAGTTTTTATTTTTTTATTTTAAAAATTTCATTATTATTATTATTTTTTGGTACTGAGGATCAAACTCCAGACCTTGCACTTGAGAGGCAGGCAGTGGAACCACTGAGCTAAATCCTGTTCAGTTTTTAAAATGCATAATAGCTCTCAAGTAGTAGAACGTTTATAGGAATAAACTAAATTTTTCTGGCTTCCCTTTCATCATTTACCTCTAATTTCATTAACATTCTTCAGCATAAAGGAGTATTGTACAAAAGCAAATCTGACCTGACACTTTGTCTTTATTTTTAGTAGGTAATGTCTTCACCAAAACCTTCAACTACTAATTTCTTTAAAGTCTTAATCAAAGCCAAGAAGATAGTTCTAAAAAACAAAACAGCTTCTTAGAATTGTTAAGTTGTTGCTTTAATTTTATTTTTTCTTTCAACGAAGCATTAAAATGATGCTCTAAAAATTCTTGAAATAAAAGAGTTATAAAGTGTGAACTAATCTGTAATCCCAGCACTTTAATATCTGAGAGGCTGATTTAGGGGGATCATACATTCAAACCCTGCCCTGATTGCCCATTTCAGTATCACATAAACAATTTTTTTCCTAGAAATTCTGACCACTTTCTAATGTACAGCATACAATTTATTTATTTATTTATTTATTTATTTGGGTACCAGGAATCGAACTCTGGTCCTTGTGCTTGCAAGGCAAGCAGCGAAACCACTAAGCTAAATCCCTGGCCCTTTATTTTTTAAAATACAGATGAAACCACTGTAACTCACTAAAATATAAGGTTCCTTTTCAAATAAATTTCTACCCAACAAGCTCTCCCCCATCTTGTTTAGACAATTGCATTTTAAACTTAAATACAAGCATCTCTTTTTTGTTTAAGTTCATTGTGTGGCTTGTCAGGATATTTTTGCATTTGTAGATTTCTTTTCTTTCTTTCTTTTTTGGTTCTAGGAATCAAACTCCCAACCTTGCGCCTGCAAGGCAGGTGGCAGAACCACTGAGCTAAATCCTTGGCCCAATTTATAGATTTCTTGTGTGTAATGTTTTCTGTCTTTTCTAGCTTATCATACTGTACAATAAGCTCCCTAATTTTTTTTAGTTTTTGTTCTGTTTGTTTTTCAATTGTTTTTGGTGGTACTGGGAATTGAATCCAGAGGCATCACTTGGTGTTCAGTAAGTAGCTCTACACTGAGTTACATCCTCAGCCTGTTTTAAGATAGGGTTTTGTAAAGTTACACGAGGTGGCCTCAATTCTGCCTGTCTTAGCCTCCTAGATAACAGCTTACAATTGTACAGCATCATGCCCAGCAAGCTTGCTAGCCTGTACTGTCACTGAAAACAATATTGAATGGAGAGCATGACCAAAGACAGGCTCACTAAGCAGAGACCTCTTCTCATTGCTGTAGAAAAAGAACTGTTTCACTAACTGTAAGTTTATTTCCCTCTGGTATTATCCTACTTACAGGGCTGTCCTGAGAAATCTATTGTAGTATCCCATAACTTTATTAAAGTTAATCAAAAAGCAATATTCTCCTCATTTGGACTTAATTCACCATCTAGTATTGGCTTTTTAAATTCTAAGTCTTATGTTTGATGCTCTTTGTTAGAAACGCCAAAGAGATCCATAGCTTTGAGTACACTAAAATTAATGACCACTTTTCAGAGTGAGCTACAATAATGTTTCATGTACCTTTCCTCAAAAAGCAAAAAAGAAAACATAGCTGAAATGGAGGAAATCGAGTAGTGATATATGGAGAAAAGAATGCCACAGAATCTGATTTGAAACATAACTTGGTTAAGTTGAAAAGGAGAATGATACATTTGGTTTGCTGTTTTACAGTACTACTAACTTGAAAGTGAGTAGCTTATACCAAAACAAAAAAACAATGCCAGGGGAGCCTAAGAGAATTTATTACAGTGAATTCTGAATAAAATGAAACAAAAAAATGGTAGATCTCAGAGGTGCTAAGTTCACTGTATACTATACTGCTTTATAAGGAAAAAAAAATAGTAAAAAGGAAGTTGGCACCTAATAATAGGGAATAAATAGTTTCAAGTACTGGCTTTAAAAAAATAAGGAAATATTGGATACTAAAATAAGTGAAAGAATAAAAGTAATTACTAAAGTGTAATGGGCTAATGAAGATAGGAATTAAACAGGAGAGAGGAATAAAAGGTAGATTACAGAATCTGTTTCCTGTTGTTTTAAAATTTTATTTTTAAAATTTGCATAGTCACATATGTACTTTCTTATTTCACTCAGCATTAGTTTTTAAGTCCAATCATTTTGCTGTATTTAGAGAGCTGTTTCATTTCATTTAACTTGTTTGATTTTCTATAATGTGAAAATACTACATTTTATTTATCTGCCCCTTTATGGATGGATATTTAGATGGTTTCAACTTTTTTTTTTAAAAAAAGGACTCATTATGAAAGTCACTTCTTAAAGAGGTTAACATGTTCTCAACAGGACCGTAATTCATATATCTCACTGCCAGGCATCTTATTTGAATGGACTATTTTATGGTTTGAGCTACTAGTGCATGACTGTCTATCGAGAAGCTTGTACCACTTCTCAGGGAGTCTTTGATTACAATAATGCACAGAGGTGTTGATTTAACAGACTGTATGGCATCATATTATAGTACTTTAAGGAAAACATTAAAATGGTATAAAAATTATAATACAGCTAATTTGTGGTACAGCAGTTGTAAATGCATATTATATAGACCAACAGTAGGGTACTTGTAAGGTTTCCATGTTAAAATTTAAAGAATTAATTATTGATAGACTATTTGTGAGTATAAATAAGTTTCTTTTAATTAAATAGATGTTTATGATAATTTTAATTTGTTTGAATTATATCAATATTTGGGCACTAGTCAGATTCAAGGAACTAACTAGATTCAATCCATTTATAGCTTCTTATTTTTTTTAGTAAAAAGACTGATAAAGGAGATTAAATCCATTTATAGCACCAATGATTCAAGCCAGCGGGAATATATTAAAAGGTTAGTAAGAATATCCAAAATGTAAAAGAAAAGGGCCAGTGAGTGAAAAATTCAAGAGCACTGAATAATTAATGTTCTTTAAAAAGAAGCTAGTAATACAAAATCAGAAACTCCACTGAATACTAAAGAAATATTTTCAGGGTTATCCTTGAAGACATAAGAACTTTAGATTTGGTAATATCAGAGTCAGTACCATAAAAGAAAAATTAAACCAACAAAAAATAGGAGATATGACTAAGTTAGTCAACAGTAAAGGATAAAAAAAAAATCATTCAAAAATGATCTGGCCAGGTGCAGTGCCTTACACCTGTGATCCCAACACTCAGGCAGAATTACCATGAGTTTGAGGCCAGCCCAGACTCCACAGTGAGTTCAAGGCCTACCCTAACTACAAAGCAAAACCCTGTTTCAAAAAACAAAAACTAAAATGATCTAAACAATTGGATATCAATTGGAAGTTTTAAATTAGATCTTCATGGTACATCAAAATAATTCTGGAACTCCCTGACCACAGAAAAACTAACTATATATCATTAGAACCCTAAAAAGCCAGAACAGTAATAAAGATTACATGTATTTTCATTTGTTTCCATAGCATGTATCATAGTTTTATTCATAACACTATTTACACTTTATTGTAAATAATTAGTTCTCTACCTAGAATATAACCTCCTTACGGTCATGGAGCTTTCATTGTCATTTCCATTGTACCTCGCATATTAGCAGCACTCAAGAAAGCTTGGATGGGCTGGAGATGTACCTCATTGATAGCAAGCAGAAAGGCTGGGTTCAAACCCTAGGACTACAAAAAAAAAAGTCTTTCATAAATGAAATGAATGAACAAGCCCTCTGCAGACAAAACAAAAAGTATATGAATAGACAATTCACTGAAGGAAAAAAAAAAAAGAAAGATCAATTAATACGAAATTGTGTTCAAACTCCCTACTTAAAAAAAATTTTTAAAGAAACAAAATATTTTAAAAATAATATTCAGATTCACATTCACACTTGCTCATGAAAGTGTAAATCTGTCTAACCTTTTGAGAAGGGGAATTTGGGAAGCAATACTGATTAAAATGTGTGTACTAGCTGAGTGTGGTGGTGCATGCCTGTAATTCCAGCACCAGGGAGGCCAAGGCAGGAGGTCACAGCAAGGTTGAGGCCAGCCTGAGATACATAGTAAGTTCAAGACCACTCTGCACTACAAAGTGAAACCCTGTCTCAAAAAAAAAGGTAAAACACAATGTGTATACTTCCTAACACTGTGATTGTGAGCACTACTTGTGATTTTTTTTTTTTTTTT